TATATAATGTAGGTAAGGTACATATTATGTTGTCTCACATATGAATCTACCTATTGCAAGATTAGAGTGTTGAATATACATAAATTACATTACTTAATTAGTTGATCTGAAATGAAATTACGAATTCAAAATCACAGTAACTTACATCATCAATGTCATGATATGATACATATAGCCGATATAGGTAGTATTTAGTATTTGTCTTACGTTAAATAAATATGTATATAATTTAAAGAGAGAGATTAAAAAAATGCAACACGCATTACATTGGATATACCTATCAGACAATAGAAGGACATAACATAGTGCTATCAATTTCAAATATATCATTATTTTATATACTCGAAGATATAGTTTTTTCATCAGCATTAAAGTTATAAAATTAACTACGATAACTATCGAAGATTTTGGAAGTTGAGCTAAGCTTTCATCCTATTTGCGGCACATACATGTAATACATTAATTTAGTTATTATATTACACTTTATATAACTTTTAATTTCTTAAAAAYTTTCGAAGTCAATATGTGTATTGTGTATACATAATAAATTTGCATATTGTATTGATTGATAGAAAATAATAAAAACAAAGTTTTATATCATAAGATACGATAAATATCCTTTTTACCTTTGGAAATAAGGATTATATTCTTGCAGGTGCAACAGTTACAGTTAAAATACTTGTAAGTGTAAGAATATATTATATACCTATAAATATACACATATATATATATAGAAAGGTAAAAAACGAATCATTAAAGAAACAATACAAAAAAGATTTATGGTTACATGATTTTAGATTATGAGTGGAGCGAGGAATGTATTGATTTTACCGCGATGTGTGTTTTTTTTTGTGTCTGTCATCACGTTTTGGGGCAGTAAAAGTGCTTCGATTTTTGACTTCAGTACCTCGTTCGATCAGAAAGTGAATCTAGTTCGTATTTTGGGAGGTCAAAAGTTAAAGATTCCCAATATTTTTCTAAATAAACAAACTAAAAATTAAGGGAAAAACGGGAAATTTCAGTCTCTGCTCAGAATTGTTTTTCGTATACAATGATATATCATTGGATTCAAATTTAATTCCATCCAAAACAGTAACCAACTTGTAACCTACTGTACAGCAGAGCGACATCCACGACTTACCCGCTTTTTTACTGTTAAAGATGTTTAAGTAGGTAAATATAATTACGATTATCAACACTCAACAGGTATAATCCTTTTAGAAGTAATGCGTAGAAAGAACAATAATTAATCTAAAAATACTTTGCATATTATATTGTTGAATTTCTATACATTTGTACTGAATGTGTTTCGCGTTAATATTATAATGAAGAAGATATGTACCGACTAGCCTTAATAAAAATAAATTTCGATGATTTTTTCGTATTGTTGAGTACCTGTATATGCGGTCCGTTTTATACGTATTGGATCTGGGTAGTAAAATCAGTTATTTGTACATTGTACATAGGTACGATATAAATATATATGATAATAAACGTATCAGTATAATGGGACTTGTGTAATAACAAATATAAACTTTATACACTTATACTTACTTACATTTGATACATACGTCAATTAAAAATGGAATAAAAAACATTTAACATTGTATAATCAATTCAATTTTATGGCTCCGTTCAGAACCTAAAATGT